CTGTTATCGAGGCTGGAGTGCAGTGCCACAGTCATGGTTTACTGCAGCCTCAACCTCCCAGGCTCAAGCAATTCTCAAGCCTCAGCCTCCCAAGAAGCTGGGACTACAGGCATGCATGGTTTCTAGTCTTTATATAGACAGGATCTTTTGGCATTGCCCAGGCTGATCTCAAATTCCTGGGCTCAAGCAATCCTCCTGCCTCAGCCTCCCAAAGTGCTGAGATTACACAGGTGAGCCACTGTACCCGGCCAAGATATTTACGCCTGATGTTCCCTTTGTCTGCAATGCTTTTCCTCTAGAAATCCATACTGCTTCTTTCTTTACCTCCTGTCTTTCCTGACCATCCTGTTTAAAATTGCATTCTCGCTTGCCAAAAACTTCATACTGTTTCTTCTTTTTCTTTCCTCGTCTTAAACATTACACATATTTATGTTGTTTACTATCTACCTTCCCCTATTACATTTTACACTTCATGAGGCAGGATATTTTTGTTGATCTGTTTTTCTCACTGCTGTACGCCCAGTACTTATAAAAGTACATAGAACTTAGCAGATAATAAATGTTTGCTGAGTCAATGATATTTTGAAAAGAGCACTGGTCTGAGTTTGAGGAGTCCTAGCTTCTTATTTGACTATATCAAGGCAACCTATGTGGCTTTAAGCAAGTATGAAGCATGAAGGAGAAATTATAATAAATAGATGCTATAATTGATTGAGCACTAATTTCATGCCAAGTATTGTGCCAAGTAGTTCAGAAGCATACCTCACTTAATCCTCACAGCAGTTACTATTACTAGCTTTCTTTTATGGATGAGGTTTACTGAGGCTGAACTTCATCATCTGCAAAAGGAACAGGTTGTGGCCAAATAATCCCACACTCTCTTTCCCTCTCAAAAGTTCTAAGATAATGATGTCTTTCTATTTGAAAAGACTCATTTATTTACCTATAACTCAAAGGAAAAAAGTCTTAAAGTTCCATCATGTATTTGAACCTCAATTCTACTTTGAGGAAAAATACATTTTACCTCTTTTCATTCTCTTCTCAATGTGTTGGATCTTGGGCAGGGGTCTATGGAAAAGAACGATCCTAAGTATACACCTTCCACTTGAAAATAACTTCAAACACTAATACACAAAGTATGTGGTTAAATTCTTACATTTTAAAGGCAAATCCATGATCAACTATTTTTATGGTATCTGAAAATGTCAATGTTCATTACCGGTTTTCTATTAGTAATGGAGTTCAGAGCTGTTGTCACGGAATGTTCTTTTCCCATAGCCAAATAGACTTTCTATAACAACTTGTCTCAGGAAAACTGGATTATGGCAAAGCTTTATGAGACTCTGTACTTACACCTCAAATCACACACTTGAGGGCCAGAAAGGATCAGAGTGATAACCTGAGGCAACCCTGTGATTCTATAGAACAGGAGAAGAAGGCTCAGAGAAGGTAAGCCATTTACAGAAGCACACACAGCTAATAAGTGGCAGAGCTGGAAAATTGAACATCAATTTTTTAAATGCCAAAACTCATGCTTTTTCCACTCTATCACAATTCTTCACTGTGACCTTGAAAGGCAGGTTCCTTTTTAAGACTTTATTTGAAGCAGTTTTTTTTCTCTCCCCTACTGTAACAAGTGTGACGGAAGACACTCATATGCACAGTACATTCTCACTGTGCACCTAGAGTTTGATGAAAAACAATACTTTGCATGAAAGTAAACAAATAGTAGCATAGGGCATTTGCATTACCATAATGGGCAATTGGCACGATTATGCAAAAGAATATAAGCAACAGATTAAGTGAGTTATAAGCACTTCTCTGAGTTTGAGACATAATAATGAAAATGAGCCTGAGAATAATAGCTTTGACTAAATACTTATCATGTGGCAGGTGTTATGCTAGGTGTTTTAAGCTAAGATACAGATCCAGATGCAGCAAAGTGCACATAGTCGTTGCCTGGATTCAAATCCTGTTTGCCATTTGCTAGGTGTTGAACTTGGACAAATTATTTAAACTGTTGTTCTCCGTTTGGACTCAACTTTAAAATAAGCATAACTATAGCACTTACTTCACTAGATTATTTTAAGGATTAAGCATGTACAACACTCACTGACGTATTACCACTTTCCAGGCTTTGTGCTGAGCCCTCAGCAAGCATTAGCTCTCATTATCCCATTTAGTCTTCACTGAAATATATTGGGAGACAGCTCTATGAATCCAGAGATGTTTGTTTTGTTCACTGCAACGGGTACAATTATTCAAAAAGGTATAAGCAGCAGTGCCTGGCACATAGTAGAAGTTTAATAAATATTTATTCAATAAATTAATTTCATAAGTTGAATACCCTTTTAATCTTCATTTGGGAAATGAGGAAACCAAGGCTTCATCCTTTTCCTAGGCTCACATGGCTAGGATATGTGATATGATGGTACATTAAAATGTATGATGGATATGTTTATTACCTTGATTGTGGCAATGGTATTAGAGGTGATTCTATCTCCAAACTCACCAAATTGTATACAGTAAGTACACACAGATTTTTGGTTTAAAAAAAGTGGGATAAGGAATAAAATCAAAATGCAATTATGTAAGCATGAGGCAATAGGAATGACCCTAACTTTGTCCTAATTAATTTAAATGATTTAATTATTTCAAACGTGGCTATTCTTACTATTTTAAGCATAAATTACTAGAGACATATCTGATACCTGATTGGGATTGGAATACATCAGTGTACTGGGATAAACCTGGAGGCAACGCAGAGTTACCAAGGCATTAGGTGTGGGGTGATGCCTGCAAAGACATTTAAGGAAGATGAATGTGGCATGAAAGATTGAAGGGCCAGGGGCTGCGTGCAGGGTGGGCTATACAGCAATGGAATAGGATAGAAAAGCACAAAAACTACTTTAGAGTTGCCCCAAACCATTAGGTAATTATGTGAGCCCCACCTCCCACCACTGGATGTCACTCAACAAGATGCAATGAGTAGGCGGTAACCTAATCAGGGCTGGTAAGTTCCAAGTGGCCTTCAAGTACCCCCTACCTAGGTAAGAAAGGCTAGATGGAGAATCTGCCTGACCCTGGCGATACTGATAGGGTCCTTTTCAGGGGAAGAGAAAAATTCGATCTGGAATTTACTTGTGACTGTTAGAAGGGATGGTGTGCACTCATGAATAATCCAGAGGGAATTCAGAACCTCAGAGTGTCCGCTGCCCTGCAGTAGGCTGGCTTGGCTCACAGTGGAGCCAGGCTGGTGGTATGACCTGTGGGGTCAATTCACCTCGAGGCATCTTTCCTGCTTTTCTTTGTGGGCCAGCCTCACAACAGCAAACGCACTGGGAAAGACTGGAGTGGGGGTGCAGGGTGAATAAGAGGGAGTAGTTTGGAGACAGAGGAAGAGTGAAGAGGAAACCCGCTGGACACAGGTATCGCTTGGCCTGAGGACTAGCTGCAGGCTGGTAAGCAAGTCAGGGCCAGTCATATATCAGCCTCCGTCTCCACTGGGGACAGCAAAATCGGTGTGGCCTCAATGCATGCCGAGTGCTTCCGCTAGTGAGAACCAAGTGCAAGTCTGGGAGAAAGGGGTGTGAAGAAAGATACACTGTGAGTGAGAAGGATAAGGCTGGCACAGAGGGCAGGCCTCCTTGACTATTATTGGCCACTATGTTTGTAATTGTACACGAGAGGCTATGGCTACATCTACAGGTGTACTGAGGGAATAAATGAAAAAAGGAAAAGATTCCTGAATTGGTGGTGGTGTTGGGTATGCTCTAGCCTAGAGAAGGCAATATTGTATAACAAAAAGAGCTGACCCACGGAGACCTGGGTTCAAATCCCATCTCAGCCAGTTTCTAGTTGTATCCCCTATTTGGGCCTTAACTGCATAATCTGTCAAATAAGGATGCTAACAAAATGTGATGGCTAATGTTTTGGCACACTGACATATGCCAGAAACATAATATATTAGCTAGTATGATGGATAAAAGTTGTATGCATAGATAGTCTATGTGTATTTGAGTCCTACCTCTGTGACTAAATAGTTAAGCAAACCTGGAAAAACTAACTCCTCTGAACTCTAGTTTTCTTGTCTGTCAAATGGAGACAGTAATAGTACTTGACTTGGATAGTAAAGGCCCAATAAATATTTGTGGAATGAATGAGGGTGGTTGAAAGAATTCCAGATGGTAATGCATGTAAAAAGCTAAGCCTAATGCTTGGCACATAATAATCATTCAAAAATACTAGCTATTATTATCAGATAACAGGAGTGAGTGAATGGAATAACATGTAAATTAACGGTACCTTAGCTGTTGCTTACTCAGTGTTAGATTTCCCCCAACTTCCTTCCTTTTCTAGCTCTGGGAATGACTCTTCAAAACCATCTTACCTATCCTTGACCTCCATCCAGAAACCTCCACAGCTTAAAATTAGTCAAGATTGTAAGTCAACGTAAAATCAGTCTGTCCAATAGATCTGGAGAAAAGGGCACTGAGATTGGCACAGTGCCCTGGGTAGTAGTGCATTCTTTCCTGAATCTGCATGGCTTCCTTCCTGCAGCGCCACACTGCTCAGAGCACCTGGACATCTAATATATCAGCTGTTATGGGAAATCCAACCTCGTGTGCAGGGATCCTAGTCTCCTATGAGAAGATGAAGAGCAGGTACCTGGGTAAACTGCTGAAGTGATTCTGTGAAGAGATGGCACACCCTATTCAAAGCCAGTATTTTTCTATTTTTTATTTTTATTTTCTGTTGATGCTCATGGTTACATCCATTTGGCCAACTTATCAGAAATCCTTCTCTCTCCTTTCTGTGTACTCAGCTCCTGTCCACTCAAAGACCCAATAAGATCTTATATACCAATTTACTCACAGTTCAGGTGCAGCAAGTTACTCAGCAGAACACAGAAACACTCTTAAGCCCGGGACACAGCAGTTCAGGTTAAATCAGTAATTTGCAGTGCACAAAACACTCTTACCTACTTAGAATTCCACTCTATCTCTGGCTGCTGGAAGAGGGCCTGGCATGTCATGGGCACTCCACACACACTTGCTGAGTGAATGACTGTGTCACGTGATTCCCACTGCTGCTCTGAGACTTTGGTAGGGCAGGTGTTATTTTGGTCATCCACATCTATAACAAGAGGTAAAGGAGGCTCAGTGGCATAAATATCTCGAGTCAGGGAGCTGAAAGGCAGCAAAACTAAGAGGCAGACCTTAGTCTTAGTCTCTAAATCCATCATCTTTCTAAACAACCCTGCTTAACTCCATGTTTCTAAAAAACCCTGCTTAACTTCCAACTATGTTGAAGCCCCTCAGTGGCAGTCTGTCTGAGAAGCCCCTTGTGTGGAGACAGATGCTTTCTCCAAGTGGAGCTCACCCTCTGATGCTCTTCATAGTGGTTTCTTGACTGAAGTTGTGGGTTTTGCTTATTTCAGGCTCCATCCCTGCCTCAGCTTCAGATACCAACCTGGTCTTCAATTTGCCAATATGGAAGTCTGCTGAACTCTGCTCCTGACTTCTAGTGCCAGCACATACTCTTACCCATGCCTGACCATGCTAGAATTACCAATCCTTCAGTCAACCCCAGACCCAGTGCGATAGTGTCATTTCTTCACAAAGTCTTCTACAGTCAGCCCTTTGGATAATATGTATTTATACATATAAACAAAGTGCATATGATTTGACAGTGGTTGTCCAAAGTTGGGGTAAGAGAGGATTCCAGTTTCTACTCTATGTGTTTTTAATTTAAAACTTTTCTGGACAAAGGTTATTACTTTTATAATTAGCAAAAACAAAGATAATTTCATTGAAATTTTTACAGAAAGATTTTTGTCATCAGCTCAGTGAGGCATACTGAAAATACCTCAGCAGACAACCAGAATTCACAAATTGTCTTGAATTGTTTCATCCCATTCACTTGTCCACTTCTTTGTTTGCTCACTGTTTGGTTCCTTCAAGTTACCAAACTCTAATTTTGATCTCTCAGCTTGTTTATTTTCATTCTTCTCCATTTGCTCATACCTCCCTGAGGTCCTAGAACTCCCTCTCTGGTCAATGAGCCAATGATCTTTGAAGGTGAATTTAATCAAGTGGGGAAGATCCAGGCATTTAGGCCCCAAAGGAAAGATGATCTATAAAGGTCTCCACTCTGACTCCATAGAAACTCATATTCTTGCCACACAATTAGGCATTAGGTTAAATACTCAACAGTTCTCTCATTGGTTCTTGGTATTTGCCTTATTTTTCCAACTGTAGTTTAAATTCCTCAAAGGCAGATATCTTAAGTAATAGTTTTCTTTATCCCACCTAGAAGCAGCTAAATATGTTTTCTATGCCCTGGACCCAGATTGTCTCCCTGGTAAAGGGCATTTCCCAACAGTATTTTGCAAGAGACATTTCCCAGAACTCTCACTTGCTGAGAAACTCTATCACAGGTTTACAAGAGAAATGATTAGGCTCAAACAATTTATTATGGTTTACAAAGTCTTTCATAATTGAGTACCAAACTGTGTCACCAGGTTCATCTTGCATGCTGTTTGCTTCTCCCACATACACAGCCCAGGTTCCAGTCATAATTAATTTCTTCACCATTCCACAAATGCATCACCATCATTATTAATCATCATTATTCATTATGCTTTTATATGTTGATGACTTTGCCTGTTGTGTATAGAATGCCCTTCCTTCCCCTATCCAATTTGATAAGTTCTGCTGCTGCTTCCAAGACCCATTTCAGATGACTTCTCTTCCAGAAAAACCTTCCCCGGTTTTTGAGATGGAGCTAGTCTGTCCCTCCTATATGCTCCTACAAAGTTCAGTTTAACACTAGTCACCTCAACTATTTGATACTCTCTCTCTGACTACCTCAAGGTAAGACTTGGGTTTTATTCCTTTTGGGGCATCCCTAGCAGCACCTTTTATACTATCTGACACACAGTTGGCATTCAATAAATATGTGTTGAATGAATGCATGGGAGAAAGGAGTGTTCTCCAGGTAGTTACCATGATGGATTTGAATGTAGAGTGATGGTGAACAATGAAAGAAAGGGGGTGGGGTCATTTTACTGGAAGTCAAAGGGATTAGCTCTTGCATCATGCAGTGCAGCTGACCGCTCCCAGAAGGGAGATGTCCAAATGTAAGATGCAGTGCAGAACATTAAATATTGAAAGCAAAAGTTAAATATTAAATTTTAATATGAAACATTAATGCCAATAAACAAAACCAGCCAGAAAGGGACAAAATTAGGACCAGGCCATGGCCAAAAAAGAAAGAGTCATGGCTCAGGCTGAAAGCTGACCATGGCTTGGACTTTCCCAGCAGGGCTCATCGGTAATGGTCACACCCATCAAATTTCCCGGGAGAAGCAGTTGAGTGGGGTGGGGGGGAATAAAGCCTTTTATAACCCACAGCCATAAAACACAAGCCTTTCCTACAAAACAAAACACAGTAAAGTGTTTTAGGACCGCCAAGGCTGCAGAACTCCTGGTACAGTGGAACAAAAATAGAGGCAGCAGAGAGGAAAATATGAGGTTGCTGAACCCTTGGGGCAGGAATCCTATCTTTGCTTGTACTGTGTGGGACTGGGCTTGTGTGCAGCCAAGTTGGGCAGAAAGAAACAACAACAAGAGTCATAAAAGGAACAAAAATAATGGGATTGCTCCTGTTGATGCCAATGGATGTTTTGCCTGAATGGAAAACAACCCTGAGAACAGAAAATTGAAACTAGTGCTCAAAATCTACACTCATTAGGGCCCAAAGCTCACTCTACCTGGGGATTCAGGAGCACTGTGTCTACTGTGACTATTTAGGGTCAAGGACCTTGTAGGACTCAAGCTAAGCCTGAAAGTTCATAAACTGTGTGTTTTCCATTAAAAAGCTAGTCATTTTGGTTGGTAAAACTGTTGAATGGTTTGGCTGTGTCCCCACCCAAATCTCATCTTATTATGGGAGGGATCCAGTAGAAGGTAATTGAATCAGGGGGGTGGGTGTTCCCTGTGCTGTTCTTGTGATAGTGAATAAGTCAGAAGATCTGATGGTTTTTTAAGGGGAGTTTTCCCTGCACAAGTTTTCTCTTGTCTGTTGCCATGTTAGATGTTCCTTTTGCCTTCCACCACGATTCTGAGGCCTCCCCCAGCCATGTAGAACTGTGAGTACATTAAACCTCTTTTCCTTTAAAAATTTCTCAGTCTCCAGTAAGTCTTCATCAGCAATGTGAAAACCGACTAATACAACTGTCATTAGGCAAGGCATTGGGTTAGACATCAGAAAGTACTGGGTAACTTATTCCTGTACCTATATTGGAATCTTGCTTGATAATTTTAGTGTATGACAAGCTCTTATTCTAAAAATGAAAGCTAGACTGCAGCACCAGATCAGATTCTTTCAGGACAACTGCAGTGAGGTATTAGGAATCAAAATCCGTGACCGTGGAAAGGAAATAATTTCAGGGCATTGGCCTTCAGGGTCAGGATGACACAGAAGACTATTTGTCTTGCTTTAAGCTTCAGAGATGAGGGGAGAAGTGAAGAATTCTGAGAGTAAGACCCTCATGATAGCAAAGGTCTCACATAACCAGTCCCTAGGTTATAGGAAATTTAAGAGGTCACTGAATGCAAAACCCCTACCCGAGGCCATGCTGTCGCCTAATCTGGGAAAGATACAGAAGTGTGCAGGACATCAAGACAGAGGAAGTGCTCCAACAAACAAGCCTCCCATTCCCTGAGAACCCTTACAATCTCCAGGGGAAATATGGATGTGATGATAAAGGAATGAGGGTAATTTAGCTGGAAGGATAATCTTCACAAGGAATTAGCAAGCATAAGGGGGAAAATGAGCATGGATTGGTGGTTTAATTTTAACCATATGGAAGGATTGACTGATCGGTGCTATCAAGTAACCATATCAAGTGAAAGTCAATCGGGAGACAGCTTGGAGGAAAATTAGGTTTTCTTAAAGGAAACAAGGCATGAAAGTGGATGCTGGAGCCGAGAATCACAGAGGCCGTATTATGTGATTTCTTTCTTGAAGGTCTCTTTGTTTTTTGTGATATATTTTGGTTAATTTTCCTTCTTTCAAATCTATTTGAGCATTTTTATCTGGCCTGCTGCCTCTTTCTCCCCACTTTAGTCTATCTCAGCATTGTCACATGATGCTGATGAAGGTTAGCCTTAAAAGTTAGGGTAGCCTGCTGAGTTTCAGAAGAGAAAGAGGAATTTTAATATGGGTAAGCTTTGCTATTCTTGGTGTATACAACCTCACCTGTGTCTATACCTGGGGTGAATATAATTGGCTCCTCTGGTAAAATATTGCCTCTCATACAAATAATATTGAGTGCATTTTACAGGAAAAAAAATAGAAGCTATAGTTTGCTATTAGCAATACCAAATTATTATTAATGCCTCACAAAATACAGAGAAAAGATTAATGAGCCAGACGGTCAGGAATAGAGCCCAGCTTTCGCACTGACTCACTGGATGACTCTGAGCTGAGTTATTCAACATTACTGAGCTTAGTTTCCATGCCTGGAATATTACAGGATGAGACCAGATAAGTTGTTCTCAGACTATTAGCCAAGGATCCCTGATGGTTCAGGAGAAGTGAGGCAGAGTCCACCACAAAAGCAAAGGCAAATTTGAACATTAGCTGCTTCAGCCAGAGTAGCTCCATTTCAATAACATTATTTATATGATGGACTTTTGCATAACAGTTTATGTTTAAAAGTGGATACATACTTTAAAAATTTGGAAGCTCATTGGACTATAACAGATGATCACTGATATGTAACAATGCTGCCCTTATCTGGCTTCTCTTACATAATTACAGAATCTGCCCTTGTGAATATGAAGGAATCCTAGGGTTCATGTAGGTAATTTCATTTCCTTGACATGTGAAGAAACTGAGGACCAGAAGCAGAAGAGACCTGCCCAGGACCTCACGCCAAGTCGATGGCTGAGCAAATTTAGTCTTTTGACTATTACTGGTCAATTGCTTCCTCTACCAAATCACTAATGGTGAAACAGTATATTAGCTTTTTAGAGATGCCACAACTGATTGGGTAGCTTAAACAACAAAAGTTTGTGTCCTTACAGTTCTGGAGGCTAGAAGAACAAGATCAAGGTATTGGTAGGTTT